AAGGATGGAGGAAGACCCATCTGCAGGGTCTCCCACGGACAGGAGGTCGGAACAGGAAAGCGTTCTACCACCTGTAAGACAGGGACTTAGGAACAGGGACAGCCTCAGATGTGTACACACAGAACCCCAGAATTGAGGAGTTGTCCCTGGAGAGGAGAGATGGGGGACCAGCACTGGGGGACAACTTTTTAGGTCTCATATTTGAATTTGTCCCATGTGCATGTAGCACTCAGAAAAAGGAGGGCCAGAGAGAGTGGCTTTTTCCTTGGAGCCTTCTCAGGCCACCCAAACAGAACTAATCAAATCCCACAGCAGCTAATCCACCCTTCTCTCCTGCTCCTCCTCCTCCTTCTCTTCCTGCTGGACTGGGTCCCGAGACCACGGCTTCTTCCCAGGGCCCTGGCACACAGTAGGCCTTGAGGAAGTTGAGTGGGGAACAATGCAAGAAACAAAGGCATTCTCTGCTTCCCTTGCCAGTAGCCACCCCCTCCCCAGGAACACAGACAGGCACAAAACTAACTGTAACCAAACTAGAAATGCCTTGGAAAGCCCTGTCTCCATCAGGGGAACTTGCATGTCACAGAGACACAAAGGCTTTAGTCACCTGGGACATGACACGAACGGGGGTGCAGCAGGCCGGGGAGAATGCTAGGGAAGGATCCAAGGGGACCCCTGGGGAATCACTCCACCAGCCACTTCCCCTGCAGCTCTGGCGTGGTGTACCCCATGCCACCGCTGGGGAGTGAGCTCAGGCAAGCAAGGGGACCGAACCCCAGAGGGAGAAGTGGGGACGAGTTCTGCTGAGAAGAAGGGGACAGTTTTCAGGGCAGATGCTTGGCTTGCAGCTCTGCCAGTTTCCCCTAAGAGCGAGGGTGCCTGGTAGGCGGAGGAGGCCCCAAAAGGGTCCGGGACAAGATAAGAACCCCCTGGCCCTGGCCCTGGCCCTGGCCCTGGCCCTGGCCCTGCAGGGTGGGAGGGGGGAAGTGGCAGCCCCTCAGTCCTTCCCAGCCCGGCCAGGGAAAGGAATGCCATGTTTTCCTGTTTCCAATTAGCTTCCCTCACCAGCAGCCCTCCACATTCTTGAGACAGGGAGCCAAGGCAGCCTGGGGAGTGGGGGTTCAGGGAAGGCTGGGAGCTAGTCCTGGGGCTAAGGACGCCCCACGCCCCAAGACCTCCCCTCCCCACCAAGGGCCCCAAGCCCTGGCACTGTCTCCCTCTCCTATAGCCTCAAGGCAGACTCCACATCCCAAGAGAAGATTGGGGGAGGCCTCTGGGAAGAAAGTCAGCAGGCCTTAGGGTTCTCCCACCTCCCCCAGAGATCAGCTCCTCCCTTCAGGAAGCCCTCAACCCCCCAGCTGTCCTCTGCCCCACCCCACAGGTTGTATTACTTATGCCTGTCAAGTCACGGGGGAGCAGGGGCCCCCTCAAAGCCCCAGGGATCAGGGCCTGTGAGGCAACACCTCCCCTGCTGTTGACAGATACGGAGTCCCCTCCCCCAGCCCCTGCAGTGTGGCCCGGAGTCCCAGCTCCACCAGGACACATTCCTCTGGCCTCAGTGGGCGATGTGAAGAACGGCCTCACCCATCTTATGGCGCTCTCCCTCCACGCCAGAGCTGGAATGGAGATGTTTACGGCGGGCACTGCCTTCCCCACCACGGGAGTCCTGTGGCAGAGGCTTCTCGCCACTCACCTTGGCCCCCCACAATCCTCCCCCACGCCTGCCCATGGGCATCCACATCCTGCCTGCTGACCATGAGCATAAATCACACATCCGGATAATGCCTTCGCCCACCTCGAGGTCAGTTAAAGGAACTATAATTATTCCATGTGCAGATAAGAAAACCTAGCCGGCCAGGGAAATAACCTGCCTAAGGTCACTGGGTGGAGAGTGGAGCTGAGAGCAAGCTCTCTGGCAGCCCCATCAGGGCACCACCATGGGTCAAAGGGCGGAGGAACGATGGCCACAAGGTCGAGAGTGCCTGTCACTTTGGCTCGCCTCTCACCAGGCCTGTGTTCAGGTGGAGAAGGGGGAAGAGGCTGACGGGGCCGGGTCCCCCAGCCCCCACCCAGCCAGGCTAAGGTCCCCCTTCCCCGACTCACAGGCACAGCAGAAATGATCCTGCCCTCAGCCGGCAACCAGAGAAAAACATCTGGCAGCTCCTTCCATGTATTATACACACTCAAGACCTAGGTCCACTGAAGTCAAAGAAACAAAGTGCCACAATGAGGGACAGAGAGCCTCACAGTTCTGGGCTAGGCTGGAGAAACTCTAGGTGGTCCTGAGCTGAGCCTTGATCTAACCCAGGGCTGTGTGTACTTAAGGAACCCCTTAGCCTCTCCGGGCCTTGATGAACGTGCCTGGAAAATGGGAATAATAACTGTCCCCTACTTTATCCTCAGATGGTAGCCAGGGCACAAGGCACTTAGCAGTGGCCAGTCCATAGTACTGGCTGGGTAGGGAGACACAGTTATTTCCAGGTGTGGGGTAAAGGGGTGTCTGGAGAAGGCAGGGGTAACCCCCACCAAGTCCCACAGGGAATGGAAAAGGGGTAGTCCCTGAGCTGTGCACCTCCTCAGTTCTCCCATGGGTGGGGTCAGAGTTGACAGAGCCCCCACCCCAGCTCCAGCCCAGGTGAGGTGTGGGGAGAAGGTGAAAGCAGACAGCTGATCCTAAATCTCAGGCCAAAACAAGTGCCCTCAGAAGGTGCAATGGAAATACAACCGCTCATACAACCCCAGATTTTTATTACATTACGAGGGGGATGGGAGGACAAAAGGGGGTGAGGGTCTGGTCGCAGGTCCGGGCACCTACGGAAGCCCACAGGCTGAGGACACCACAGGGCTGGGACCTGTCACCCTGGCCTTCCCTGCAGAGCTGACCCGGAGGCCTCTGACCCCACCTCCCAGGAGGTTCAGCTGCTCAGAACCACAAAGCAAAACAAAGGGGCGCGGAGAGGAAGGAGCCTCGGTGCCTTCCAATCCCCGGTGCCCGCCTGCCGGCGCCTAGCCGAGCCCGCGCCCTCCCGTGGCTCCTGGTCGGGCCGGGCTGGCTCGGACCCAGGTCCGGGCAGCACCAGTTCCAGGTCTCCCGCAAGTGACAGGACCCGGGATGGCAGCAGCCAGGGACGGGACAGCCAGATGGCCGCCTCCCTCTGGCCTGCCCGAGTCCCTCCCTCCGATGCCCTCGGCGGGCCGGGCGAGCCGGGCCAGGCTCACCCCGGGGAGCGCTGCCTTTGTCTAAAGGTCACCACCAAGCGGGCGAGCGTCGTGCCCGGGCCTGGCGCCCCCGTCCCCCGGCGGCGGGCGGACCTGACAGCAGTGAGGCCCCCAGGGAAAGGCCCCTCCGGGACGCGCCGGCCGGGGACGCGGTGGGGGTCACCTCCTGCCACTGCCGGGGCCCGGGGGCCAGGTCGACTCCTTTCATTGTTCAGGGGCGACGGGGAGGGGACCCGGCGGCTTCCTTCTCCATCCACCCTCCGCAGCTGCCCGAGGGCCCGTTTCTCTCCGGCACCCCGGGGGGGATTTGGGGAGGGGGCGCGGGTCACGGCGACCGGGCGACGCGAAGGACCGTTCGCCGCCCGGGCCCGAGTCCCCGCCGCCCGCGGCCCCGGGCCTCGTTCTCCCGAAAGGCGGGAGCGGCGCGGGGAGGGGGCCGGGGGGGGGGTCCGCCCCTCCCCCCGCGGACGCCGGTCCCGCTCCCCGCCGCTCCATTGTATCCCGCGGCTGGCGCGAGGGCCGGGCAGGCTCCGGGTGTGGGCAGGGACCGGGGGGGTCCCCCGCGGGACCGGGGCGGCGGCGGCGGCGGGAGGGAGCCGGGGTGGGGGTGCCGGTGGCGGTGGGCGCCGAGCAAAAAAGAGAGCGAGGGAGAGAGCGAGAGAGCAGCGGGCACTCGCCCCGGTTGGGGGGCTGGTGTGTGAGTGTCGGGGGGGTGGGTTCGGCCCCGGCTCCGGCTCCCCCCACACACACCCTCGCCGCCAACCCCCACTCCCCCCTCGCTTTTGCGCCCTGTCACAGCCCCGACTCGCAGGTAGAGAGAGTTAAGAGATTTAAAGAGAAATTGCTACATTGTGAGAAACTCACCCTGATGTTTGAGCAGCCGTCGGCGCGGGGTCTCCGGGACGGCCCCGCACGGGCTGCACAGGGAGGACCCAGAAGGGGCCGGCCGGCCGGGCCGGTCAGCGCACTGCCTGATCGCATGGCGGCC